TTGTGTGGATGTATTGTGGTATAAGTGGGAGAACATAAAAAAAGAAAAAAAACAAGGGTGTGTGCATATTATTCGTTACGTAACACTATTTTAGATATTTTTGCCATTCGGGTGTAAGACAGCTAATCGAGAAACGAATCAATGAAAAGGACGTGGACAGCACATTGTTCGATGAAGCTGTTAAGCACGTTGAGCAGGTACTTAGGAACGATCCATACGTCCGTTTTCTTCAGTCCACGGAATACAACGATTTGTTGGCGAAGCTGAAATGAGCAAAACGATTCGGAAGTGGTCAAAACATTCACCAGCTCTGTTATTCCCAGTCGTTTTATAACATTATTTTTTGACACTTATTTTGATGCTTCAAAAAATTGTCTTTTCATTGTTGTGTACTAGTGCGCCATTGATGTCTGCGGCGCAGTGATTTGTTTCTGATAAATGTCTCACAAAAACGTTTCCACATTTGCAAAGAAAAACGATCCTCAAAAAGAAGGCAGCAAAACAATTAAAAAACCCAGGCTGGAACGCACCAGGCGAGCCGGTGCGATCATGCGTTTTTGCATCAAACTTTGAGGAGGATAAAAGGAAAGAAGGAAAAAAGGAGAAAACCCAGGCTGGGACGCACCAGGCGAGCCGGTGCGATCATGCGTTTTTGCATCAAACTTTGAGGTACTCCATCATTTTTCCCTGCCCTTGCCCCAACCCTCCACTCGATGTTTCCGCCCTTCCCCCGCCCCCGCGCTGGACACCGGTCGCGGTGATATTGTGCTACATTACACAGCACGATTCAAAGCGGTATTCTGTGGGTACGGTAGGACGAGATATATGTAGTGCACAGACGCCAGTGAGCGGTCTAACGCTGCTCACTGTGGCAGCGGTGGGGTGGTTCATGGCGTTATGTGTGGGGTGGTGGTGGTTCATGATGTTCATGATGGAGAGGAAAGTGTTGTTGGGAGGTGGCCGGTGTTTGGGGGGAGGGGAGTCGGTGTTGGAGGGTGCCCAGTGTTGGGGACGCTCGGTGTTGGCTGGAACGGGGGGGGGGGGG